GAAAAATAAGACTATCCTCAGGAGGGATAACATGGGGAGAAATGCTGGATATAGGTAATGGGGGCATGCAGCCAGCAAACCACCTTGCCATGTATGTACCTATGTAACAAACCTGCATGATCTGCACACGTACCCCAGAACCTAAAGTACAATAAAAATAAATAAATAAATAAAAATTTAAAAAAAAACTATCCTCAGAGTTCTATCCAGAACATAAGAGACTCTGCCAGGTGAAAACAGCACAAACTAGTTTTACAAATATATAAATTTAAGTTTATTCTTTTTTCATAAAGCGTGCATGCACACACACACACACATACACACATGCACACACACATATACTCACCTGGAGTTCATAATATACTACAGCATCAATCATGGCAATAAAATATAGCACTTTTGTAGACTTATTAAACCAGAAAGTTTTAATAAATGGTTAAAAACTCCTTTGCTTCTTATTTATAAATGTTAATAACTATACCTACCTCCTAAAGTAGGTTGTGTTAAAGTTGTTGTGTTAATTACAGGAGATACATGTGAAAGATCTGACACGTAATAAACAGCAGCCATTATTATTTTCAAGCATGCATTTAAAAATTACAAATAAAGATTGTAAACAAATTACCTATTTCAGGAGATTTTCCCTAATTACTGTTTTAATAACCAACAATATTGGCAATTATCACAAAACACCTTGTTAGCTTTATTCCACTTCCTAGCAAAACCTTACTAAGACTTGCTGAAACGGGTTCATATTACTAGAATTTCATTATCATCTAGACAAAAATAATATAGTACATTTATTAGCCCTGTAAACAGTAAATACACAAATATTTTAAACCAATTACATTCATACATTTTAGGTTACATCATTCTTAATTTTAAAATTTGTCTATAAAAATGTGTAATCTAATCAAAGCATTTCTTATTCATGACTATTAGGTATAATATTTTATCTCATTTTTAACAGTTTTGTGTAAAATCACATTATAAGCAAAGCAAGTAAATATTTGAAATGTACATGTGATTTACTGAAATAAAAAAATTTATATTAATACATTATCAATACATTAACTAAGATCTGTTAAAAACTAATCTCGATATCACCTATATAGTACTCTGCCAAAAATGTTTAATGAGAAGGTAACCATGAGAGAAAAAAGAACATGTTAATTGAAATTGAAGGACAGCCTAGAAAACAACTGGCCTAGACTCTTCTATGAAATAAATGTCATGACAGACAAAAATGAATAAGCAAGTGTTTCAGATAGTCTTTAGACTAAAGAGACTTGATAACTAAATGCAAGAGAAGATCTGTGATTAGATCCTGAATCATAGGAGAAAATGAACCATATATATAAAATATTACTGGGACAATTAGGAGAATTTGAAAATAGACCGTATATTACACAGTAATAATGGATTTGTGTTCAATTAAATTAAGTGTAAAAATTGGATTGTTATTATGTAGAATGTCCTTGTTCTTGACATATACACACAGATGTATTAACATGTCTGCCACTAACTTTAAAAATGGACACACCTGCAATCCCAGAGCTTTGGGAGGCCAAGGTGGGCAGATCACCTGAGGTCAGGAGTTTGAGACCAGCCTGACCAATATGGCAAAACTCCATCTCTACTAAAAATACAAAAAATTAGCCAGGTGTGGTGGTGCACATCTGTAGCTTCAACTGTGCAAGAGGCTGAAGCAAGAGAATCACTTGAACCCAGCAGGTAGAGGTTGCGGTGAGCTGAGATTGCTATGCTGCACTCCAGCCTGGGCAACAGAGTGAGACTCCATCTCAAAAAAAAAAAAAAAGAAAGAAAGAAAGAAAGAAAGAAAATGGACCAGCCAAAGAAAAAACTGTGTAAATATATAGAAAGAAGCAATTATGGCAAAATGGTAACAATTTTTGAATCTATGTGCGTAGTACATGGTTGGTTGTTCATCGTACTATCCTTTCAGTTGTTCTGTAAGTTTAAAAATATAAAATTGGGAGTAAGAATTCTAAACTACATAATTTTAAAAGTATACTGTACCTAACAATAAGTGAGTGTCCCTTCCTGCTTTCTCACCCATGCCTTCTACCCGTATACACTGTAGAGGTACCAGTTGTCTATTGGCAAAATTGCCCTGTCATTGCTCTAGGTCTCCATTGTCATGCAGAAACCACTCACACAGTAAATCCACTGTAACCATTGACACAGTCACTGTCATAAGACTGAATGCATTCTCAAGTGCACATGATTTATTTAGTTCAGACCATCTGCATGGATACTTTTCTGTATTTGAGTCTTCAAACCAAAATTTGTATGTTATTCTAATTAAAATAAAAATTATATAAAGGTCATGGGGAGGAACTTTATTTAAAATAATTCTCTGTTGCTCAGTTTTCTACCTGTAAATTAAGAGAACACTACCTGCCTCACAGGATTGCTATCAGGATTCAGCAAAAAATATATGAAAACATTGAGCCCAGAATCTGGCATTCAGTAAATTTATTGATATTCAGTAAATTTTAGCAATTATTATTACCCCAACCTTAATTTAAGAAGAATATTCTAATTTGTTTTCTTTGAGGAAAATAGCCAGGTACTATATGTAAGAATATATAATTAAGCTCAAATTTGTCATTTCTTGGGATAAAAAGTGTGTAAAACCTTATAAAATGTTCTACTCTTAGCAAAATAACCTCTATTATACATGTAACCTGGTCAATAGAAGGCCAGAGTTGTGGAAATTCACAGATTAAATATTAAAGTATTAAATTCATTATACCTGAAGTCTTTAATCCTTAGAGAATTTATCTTAGAGAAGCTTTCCTATAGCCTATAGGGGTAGTATGCAATGATTCTTTTTCCTTTTTCTGCCTCTAGCACTAGTAGGTGCAAATCAATAAATGTTTTCAGATTGAAGTAAAGATGGAAGTACAAAAAAAATTGTAAGCTTATGGAAATGATCATGGAGAAGGGAAAAACTGATAATGTAGGTGTCTTATTTCCTTTTTTTTTTTTTGTGCTGCTATCACATAATACCTAAGACTGGGTAATTTATAATAAACAGAATTCATTGGCTCACAGTTCTAGAGGCTTGGAAGTCCAATATCAAGGTGCCAGCATCTGGCAAGGGCCTTCTTGCATCATCGTCCTATGGTGGGAGATGGAAAGGGGGTGAGAAAGAACAAGACGGATCCAAATACACCCTTTTAAAATTTTATTTCAAAATTTTGGGGGGTATAGGTAGTTGTCAGTTACCTGGATAAGTTATTTAGTGGTGATTTCTGAGACTTTGGTTCACCCATCACCTGAGCAGTATACACTGTGCCCGGTATGTAGTGTTTTATCTAACCCCCGTTCAACCTTCCTCCGAAGTCTCCAAAGTCCATTCTATCATTCATATGCCTCTGTATCCTCATCGCTTAGCTTCCACTTAAAGTGAGAACATATGATAATTGGTTTTCCATTCGTGAGTTACTTCACTCAGAATAATGGCCTCTAACTCCATCCAAGTTGCTGCAAACGCCATCATTTTATTCCATTTTATGGCTGATTAGTATTTCATGGTGTATATACACCACATTTTCTTTATCCAGTCATTAGTTGATGGATATTTAGGTTGGTTCCATATTTTTGCAATTGCAAACTATGCTGCTATAAACATACGTATGCATGTGTATTTTTCATATGACTTCTTTTCCTCTGAATAGATACTCAACAGTGATATTCCTCGATCAAATGGTAGTTCTACTTGTAGTTCTTTAAGGAATCTCCATACTGTTTTCCATAGTGGTTGTACTAGTTTACATTCCCACCAGCAGTGTAAAAGTGTTCCCTTTTCACCATATCTATGTCAACATCTATTATTTTTTGATCTTTTAAATTATAGCTATTCTTGCAGGAGTAAGGTGGTATCTCATTGTAGTTTTGATTTGTATTTCCCTGATAACTAGTGATGTTGAGCATTTTTTCATATGTTTTTTGGCTGTTTGTATATCTTCTTTTGAGAATTGTCTGTTCATGTCCTTTGTGCACTTTTTGATGATGTTATTTGTTTTTTCTTGCTGATTTCTTTGAGTTTCTTATATATTCTGGATAATAGTCTTTTGTCAGATGCATAGTTTGCAAACATTTTCTCCCACTCTGTGGGTTGTTTATTTATTCTGCTGATAATTTATTTTGTTGTGCAGAAGTTTTTAATTTCATTACATCCCACTTATTTTGTTGTTGTTGTTGCATTTGCTTTTGGATTCTTAGTCATGAATTCTTTGCCTAAGCCAATGTCTAGAAGAATTTTTCTGATGTTATCTTCTAGAATTTTTTTTTATTGTGAAAAAGTCTTTAAGAAAAAAAAATTAGTTAACAAAAAATTTAACAAGTTTCACTTAGCAAAATACACCCAAAAGGAAATCACAGTACAAAGAAAGTTTGAAGTCAAGGCCTCACCAATTCCTACAGTATTAGTATTGTATCTCAATTCTCAAAACTAACTTTTAAAAAGCTTAAACTTAACCTAAAGGATTTTAAATGAAAATATAAACTAGAATGAACAAACATGAGAAATATTTCTTTGAATCAGGGAGCTAGCACCTTTGAGTTTTCCAAGAAAGCACATCTCCCCAGTGTGTTCAGTGATGTGGTATAAAAGGTCCACATTTAACATACTTAAACTACTTAAACTCAGATAATATCACTCTGAAATATACTACCAAAATGTTAATTGAGAAAAGCTGAAAATAGTTTTAGGAACTTCAGAGGGGAATCTGAGTATGACCTAACTTCCTCCTGGCTGCTCTTAAACACCTAGATGTACCTGTTAGTTTTAGTTTTAGTTTAGAAAATTTTGCATGAGAAACACTGAAGAGGTAATTTTTTAAATCCAGATTTCACAAACTCATGGTGCAAAATGGGTCCCACAGCTTCCTCTATTATAACTGCTCTTAACTGCTTATTAGCTGCCTGTGTAAAATTTGATTGAAATAACTCAAATGTTTCTAACAAAACTAGTCATATTCACCCATGCTCTTCTGCCCACTGTAGCCGGCCCCATAACAGCCGCTCACTGACTGGCTCTCCAGGCTACTGAAAGTGGCCTGGGCCGCAGACACCCCCATGCCTTGCATCACCTGGCTGCTATATGCCCCATTGCTGGCTCCTGTTGTCGAATTCAAGAAGAGTTCTATGTATCTGTGTTGCATGTTGGCCCTGTCTTTGGACATGGCTGCAACAGCTTCTTCATGAGTAGCAAAGTCAACATCTGCTTCACCCGTCGCTCTACCATCGGGACCGATCTCAGTATGGACTCTCACAGGATTGAGAAGAGAGAGGAAGTTGTAAATGTCGTTCTCGGTCACTTTGTACAGCAGACCCCTCACGTGGACACAGTGGCCTGTGGTGCTCTGCATTGTGAACTCACTGTCGCCGTATCTGTGGTCATACATTCCGGAGAGACAGTAACCGAGGTCTCTCCCGAACAGGTCGGTGGTGAAGCCATAACCATCGCTGAGGCCACTGTACTCCTCATAGCCCCCAGAGCCTGCGCCGTCGGCACCGGGCCGCATCCTCTCCAGGCCTGCCTGCTTCACAATGCCAGTATACCTCCTGGTGGTCCCGGGCCGGCCATAGGGTCCCGGCCACTGCAGCAACACGAACTTCAGAGGGGGGTCTGAGTATGACCTAACTTCCTCCTGGCTGCTGTTAAACACCTCGATGTACCTGTGCCCCATCCTCTCCTTGTGCTTCCCTAGAGCTTTCTCAGCGAACTCCTGGGAGGCAAACTGCACAAATGCTTCCCCTGTAATCTTGCCCTCGGGGTCCACAGGCAATGTGATCCCGTTTGACACGATTTCCAACCCTGGGAAAAAGTGAACAATTTCTTCCTTTGTGCATCCAAATGGGAGTCCTCGAAGCCGCACGAAGCCGTCGTTGGCGCTGTCGGCACTGTTGGGACCCTGTGCTTCAACACCCAATCCGTTTCGGTTCTGTGGGACTTGAGCACCTCAATGTACCGGTGGCCCATGCTTTCCCTGTCTTTTTTCGAAGCCAGTTTTACATCATCTTCTGATCCAAGTTCAACAAAAGCCTCGCCACTCTGCCTGCCATCTCTAGTGTAGATGGAACGGACACCTGCGGCCCCATCGTGAATGGTGCAGCCAGAAAGGAAGTTCTGCACGTCCGCAACAGAGCAGGACCAGGGAAGGCCACGGAGCTTGACCACAAAGCCCTCGCCTCGCTCAGGGCCAGCATCATGGACACTTGACAGGAGGGGTGTCAGGTGATCTTGGGTGCGGCTTTTTTGTGGCACGGAGGCAAGCGGGACTGGTTTCTGTTTTGCTGTCAGGAGAGCGCGGCTGGCAACTGAGAGCCCCGAAATTCCACCGAAGCTCAGCCACGCAGAGGGCTCCGCGGGAAGTCCAGGTGCATCTTTTTGTTCTCAACCTCGGCCTTCCAGTCTCTGCGTTCTCGCTCTCACATCAGGAACCCCCGTCGTCCCTCGGAGCACCTAGAGGAGGGTGGAACGCGGGGAGCTTGGCAGTTGCAGCTGAGGCAGTTGAGGCTTGTTGACCATCACCGTGGAAACCCTCGGCTGCGAGCACGGGGCGGGGCCTAACGGAGGCGGGGGCAGGAACGCGGCCGGCCCCAGCCCTCAGCGCCTGACAGTCGGGTGCACGCGGCTTTGCCGGAAGCCCTCCTGCTCCCGGCGTGCCAGGCCCCGGCTCGGCCCTACTCCCCGGCTCAGCCCTTTGCCCTGGACACCTGGAAACAGAAACGCAAGGAGCCCGCATCCCCACCCCGCTGCTACCTGCAGGCGTGACTGCCTATCTTCTAGGATTTTTATGGTTTCAGATCTTAGATTTAGGTCTCTGATCCATCTTGAATTAATTTTCGTATAAGGTGGAAGATGAGGATTCAGTTTCATTCTTCTGCATATAGCTTTCCAGTTATCCCAGTACCATTTGTTAAAAAAAAAAAAAAAAAGGGTGTTCTTTCCCCACTTTATGTTTTTGTATGCTTTGTGAAAGATCAATTGGATGTAAGTATTTGACTTTATTTCTGGGTTCTCTATTCTGTTCCATTAGTCTATGTGCCTATTTTTATACCAGTATCATATTGTTTTGGTAACTACGTATCTCCAGATTTGTTCTTTTTGCTTAGTCTTGCTTTGCCTATGTGGTCTCTTTTCTTGTTCCTTATAAATTGTAGGATTGTTTTTTCTTTTTCTGTGAAGAATGGTGGTGTATTTTGACGGGAATTGCATTGAATTTGTAGATTGCTTTTGGGACTTTGATCATATTCACAATATTCATTCATCCCATCCATGAACATGGGATGTGTTTCTATTTGTTTGGGTCATCTATGATTTCTCTCAGAAGTTTTGCAGTTATTCTTGTAGAGACAATTTCACCTCACCAGTTAAGTATATTCCTAAGTATTTTTTGGGCAACTATTATAAAAGGGATTGAGTTCTTGATGTGATTCTCAGTTTGGTCATTGTTCGTATATAGCAGAGCAACTGATTTATGTACATTGATTTTGTAACCTGAAACTTTCCTGAATTCATTTATCAGATCTGGGAGCTTTTTGGATGAGTCTTTAGGGTCTCTATGATCATATCATTGGTGAACAGCAACAGTCTGACTTACTCTTTTCCAGTTTGGATGCCCTTGATTTCTTTCTCTTGTCTGATTGCTCTGGCGAGGATAACCAATGCTATGTTGAATGTAAGTGGTGAAAGTGGTCATCCTTGTCTTGTTCCAGTTCTCAGGGGAATGCTTTCAACTTTTCCCCATTCAATATGATGTTGGCTGTGGGTTTGTTACAGCTTTTACTTTGAGGTATGTCCCTTTTATGCCATTTTGTTGAGGGTTTTTATCACAAAGAGATATCTGGATTTTGTCAAATGCTTTTTCTGCATATTTTGAGATGATTATATTTTTGTTTTTAATTCTGTTTATGTGATGTATCACATTTATTAACTTGCATCTGTTAAAACATCCCTGAATCCCTGGTATGTAACCCAATTGATCATGATATATTATCTTTTTGATATGCTGTTGGATTCAGTTAGCTAATATTTTATTGAGGATTTTTGCACCTATGTTCATCAAGGGTATCAGTCTGTCATTCTATTTTGTTATGTCCTTTCCTAGTTTTGGTATTAGGGTAATACTGGTTTTGTAGAATGATTTAGGGAGGATTTTCTCTTTCCCTATCTTTTGCAGTAGTTTCATTAGGATTTGTACCAATTCTTTGAATGTCTGATAGAATTCAGCTGCAAATTCATCTGCTCCTGGACTTCTTTCTTGGCAGTTTTTTATTACTAATTTAATCTCACTGCTTATTATTGGTCTTTTCAGAGTTTCTATTTCTTCCTGATTTAATCTAGGAGGGTTGTATATTTCCAGGAATTTATTCATCTCCTCTATATTTACAAGTTTAGGTGCATAAAGGTGTTTATAGCATCCTTGTATCCAATGTATCAGTTGTAAGATCTCCCATTTCATTTCTAATTGAGCTTATTTGGATCCTCTCTTCTTTCTCTTCTTTTCTTGATTAATCTCCCTTACTGGTCTATCAATTTTATTTATCTTTTCAAAGAGTCAGCTTTTGTTTCATTTATCTTTTTTTTGTTTGTTTGTTTTAATTTCATTTAGTTCTGTTCTAATCTTTGTTATTTCTTTTTTCTGCTGGATTTGGAATTAGTTCATATTTCTCTAGTTCCTTGAGAACTAAATAATTTAGGTTGACATTAGATTGCAACATTAAGTTGTCTGTTTGTGCTCTTTCAGACTTTTCAATGTAGGCATTTAATGCTGTAACTCCCCTCTTAGCAACACTTTTGCTATATTCTAGAGGCTTTGATAAGTGTATCACTATTATCATTCATTTCAAAGAATTTTTTAAATTTCCATCTTGATTTCATTGTCAATCCAAAGACCATTCAAGAGCAGGTTATTTAATTTCCATGTACTTGTATAGTTTTGAGGGTTCTTTTTGGAGTTAATTTCCAGTTTTAGTTCATTGCAGTCTGAGAAGACACTTAATATGATTTTCACTTTCTTAAATTTATTGAGACTTGTTTTGTGGCCTATCATATAGTCTATCTTGAAAAATCTTCCATGTACTGATAAGAAGAATATATATTCTGCAATTATTGGGTAGAATGTTCTATAAATATCTGTTAAGTGCATTTATTCTAGGGTATAGTTTAAGTCGAGTTTTTCTTTTTTGACTTTCTGTCTTGATAACCTGTCTAGTGCTGTCAGTGGAGTATTGAAGTCTCCCACTATTATTGTCATACTTACCCTTAATAACAGCACCAAGCCCACCCGTGAGAGTGCAGCCCTCATGGCCTAATTACCTTTTAAATCTTCCACCTCTGTGTACTGTTACAATGGCAATTAGATTTCAATATGAGTTTTGAGGAGACAAACATTCAAACAATAACAGTAGGGAAAGAGAGGGAATAATTGCTAGCGATGTACTTTAGTAAACAAGAAAGAATGAGATTGGCCTGTAACAGGTACCTAGATTGTTCATCTAAAAATAATACTCCCTTGAGTGAGATCACTTGAGAGGAGATGTTGGAGGTTTGAGGAGATAAGAGAAGGTATAAAACTGTCATTTAAGAGGGTGGAAAAAATAATGGACTAGAAGAATACAGGACAATTCTCAAAAGTGTTTAAGGACCCACATGAGGATAATGATAATTTATTTACATTTATACCAACAAGCACAACTGTGTTCTTTCCCAGCTATGTTTAATTATGCAGATATAGACACCCACCAGGTAATAGCTGAATTAATCAGGGTTGTGGTTTTGCCAAGGCAATATGATGAGGTAAGAGAGAAAGGTGAAGGATTTGAGGATGAAATAAAATGAGTGATTATAGTGCTTGACTATGGAATTTAAACTGAGGAAGGAGGGAAAAGCGGTCAACAGGAAGAGGTGAGACAGCTTTAAAAAATGGTAGGATCATTAGACTGTGGGTTCCAGTTGGATCCAAGGCTTGCTAGAGTTATAGTATAGACAGACAAGTTAAAAAAGTGGTTGTCGGCTGTGGCTTATGCCTGTAGTCCCAGCACTTTGGGAGGCTGAAGCAGGTGAATAGCTTGAGCCCAGGAGTTTGAGACTAGTCTCGCAACATGGCAAAACTCTGCCTCCACGAAAAATACAAAAATTAGCCGTGCATGGCGGTAATTCCAGCTACTTGGGAAGCTGAGGGGAGAGGATCCAATGAACTCAGGAGGTTGAGTCTGCAGTGAGCTGTGATCAGGACACTACACTCCAGCCTGGGCGACAGAAAAAGACCCTGTCAGAAGGACAAAAAGAAAGAAAGAGAGAAAGAGAGGAGAGAGGGGGGAAAGAGGGAGGGAAAGAAAGAGAAAGAAGAAAGAAAAAGAAAGAAAGAAAGAAAGAAGGGAGGAGGGGAAAGAAAGAAAAGTGGTTAGAGAATAGTATGCAGCAAATTAAGATTATGAAGCTATGGCAATTGTTGCCAATGTGAAGGTCTGGCATGTAATTATGGGAAGGAAGAGCTAAGGTATGGTGGAAGACAAGATTATTGGAGAAGAGATATCCAAGGAACTAAATGGCCAGGTTGTTGGAAGGATCTCCCATGTGTTTTTTAACATTACCAAGAATTAAGACAGGAGTAGTAAGCAGTGGGGCAGGAAATAAAACCAAGAAATGAAGGACAAGGGAAGGGAAAATGGGAATATGTTGGTCAAAAGGGTACAAAATTGAAGTTATAAGATCAGTAATTTCTGGAGACCTAATATACAACACAGTTACCATAGTTAGTAGTAACGTACTGTATACTTGAAATTTGCTAAGAGAGCAGATATTGAGTATTCTCAACATACAAAAATTATAAATATGTGAAGTGATAGATATGTTAATTAGCTTGATTATGGTAATAATTTTATAATGTATATGTGTCTCAAAACATCATATTGTACACTTTGAATATATATATTTTTTATTTGACAAGTACCTCAATAAGGCTGAAATTGTTTTTTAAAAAAGCAAAA